TCTAGTTAGAATAAAATACATTACAACAGGTCCAAGGTCCTGCCATGTGAGCTAAATTACACGCCTTCTATGACGGAACACATGGGATCACTGGGGAAGCAAGACCCGTGAGTGGGACTGAAATTCCAGAGGGCAGAATCCTTCAGACCTGAGTTAGTATCAGCCACTGTTTATTTTCTTAGGGGAATCTGTCGATCTGGACACAGGCTGACGAATAGAGCCTGGATTAATCAGAAGCCCTGTGCTGGGGAAACAAATTTCAAAAACCTTTTAAAATAAAATAACCCCACACCTAGAAACACGGCATAGTCCAACTCCCAAAAACTGAACACAAAGAAAAATCTAAAGCATCCGGACAAAAAAGGCTGCTCTCTCTAAAGGACCAGTACTAAATTATCTACGGATTTCTGTCAATACAACCTCATGTCAAAACCTCCAGTAAAATCAAAGGGCCAGAGTCATTCAGTCACACAAAGGTCCCTTTATAGCAATGAAGGGTGTCCCTCCCAGATCCTCTCAGTGAAACAATCAGGCCTTGGGAAGCTTCAGAGCATGTTCCTCAGCCTCTCCACAGGAGCTAAGGATGGTGAAGGCCCATCTCTGAAGGTCCACAGCTCTTAGAAGTTGGTCCTGTACTGTCTTCATCTCCGTGGACCCAGCTGCAGAGAGAGGGGTCTTCCAGTCGTGCAGGAGGCCCTCGGACCCTTACACTTGACTGTCACCGGTGTTTGACTGCTCTGAGACAGTCATCCTCTCTCTTCAAAGAATCAATGATCCTCAATAACATCAAACAAGCCTGCTACCCCTTAGTTCCTCTTATTTCTCCTGCACCTCTAAGACCAGCGGTACTAACGCGAGAAAGTGCCTCCCCTGTGGCTGTTTCTCGCCTCAGTTCACCACAAGTAAAAGTTTTAGTAATTGCTCTGCTAAATTGTGACAGTTTTGTAGGGTGTCAGATGGGTACTGGACTTATCAGGGTGATCGCTGTGTAAGGTATAGAAATGTCTAATCACTATGCTGTATACCTAAAACTAATATTTTATGTCAACTGTAATTTAAAAATTTAAACAAAAATTTTAAATTATGACAGTTTTATCCGCACTCCACTTAGAGTGAGGGGGGTGCTCATTGCAGCTGGCTGGTGAGTGACCCAGCTCCGGAGCCCTGTCCTCAGCACCTGCTTCCCAGGGCCTTTCCTGGGGATGACTTTCTCAGGCTGGACTCCCTGAAACGGGGGGTGTTGCGACACAGGGGTCTGGGTGACACGAATTACTGAGGGTCTGAATGTTGGACACCGCCCCCCAAAAAATTCATATGCTGAAACCTAACCCCCAGTGTAACAGTAATTAAAGGTGGGGCATTTGGGAAGTGATTAGGTCGTGGGTGTTAGCACCCTAGTGAACAGGATTTGTGTCCTTATGAAAGACCCCTGGAGAGCCCTCTTGCCCTCTCCTGCCCTGTGAGGACACCAGGAGAAGACAGCTGCCTTTGACCCAGGAATCGGGCCCTCGCCAGACACTTGATCTTTGACTTCCAGCCTCCAGAACGGTGAGAAATAAAGTTCTGTCGTTTATAAGCCACCCATCTATTGTATTCTGTTAGAGCAGCCAGAAGGGACTAGTTCAGTAGGAAGTGGAACCAAGATGAGCAGTGTCTTGGCCTGATAAACGGAGGATCTCTAGAGCATAAGCCATACTGCAGAGCTGCTCCCTCTAAGGCGGGGGGCCAGCATTTGGTACCCCCATATCTTAGTTTGAGCTGCTATAACAAAATTCCATCGCCCAGGCACTTACGCAAGAAACATTTATTTCTCACAGTTCTAGAGGCTGGAAGTCTGAGAACAAGGTGCCATGAGACTCAGTGTCTGGTGGGGACTCTCTCTCTGGTTTGCAGATGGCAGTCTTCTTGTGGTCTCACACGGTGGAGAGAGAGAGAGAGAGAGATCGTGTCTCCTCCTCTTTTTAATTTTTTTATTTTTATTTTTATTTTTAATTATTTTTTTCTTTTTTAAATATATCTTTATTGATTTCAGAGAGAGGAAAGGAGAGGGAGAGAGAGATAGAAACATCAATGAGGAGAGAGTCATTGATCAAGCCCTCAACTGGGCATGTGCCCTGACCGGGAATCGAACCCGGATCGCCTGGATCCTATGTTAATGCTTAACCGCTGAGCCATGCCTGGCCGGGCTCCTCCTCTTTTTAGAAGGCACTAACCCCATCATGAGGGTCCCACCTTCGTGACCTACTCTAACCCTAATTACCTCCCAAAGTCCCCACCTCCTAACACCATCACACTGGGGATTACAGCTTAGACATAAGAATTTGGTGGGGGACACGAACATTTATCCCACATCATTTAGTCGTTAGCTGTGGGCCGCCTCCCAGTTCCCCTCCCCATGCCCTGGCGCCGTGTAGGGGGCACAGTGCAGTCTGCACGGTGAACCAGGTGATCTGTGGAGAAGGGGGGCACTGTGACTGCGAGTAGATTAGTCTCACAGCAGCCCGAGGTGGGTGCACTGGCCTGGCGAAGGGAGCCAGGTAGGGAAGCTGGACCCACCTCAGGGAGGGATATACTGATAGGCCAGGTGCAATTCATGTGCCCACCCCTACACCCAGTGCTGGGATTGGCCCCACCAACTACATGGACTGAAAGTGGAGGAGGCGGATGCTCTACGGAAAAATCAGTCCCTGTGGTCAGAGGAACGATGCCAAGCAGAAAAACAACAGATAGCACTACCTTAGAATTTTAGGAGCCAGAAAATTTAATATAGTATGTTTGAGATGATACACAAGAACAAAGTGTCCATCCTACTATCTAAAGTAATTTTGCTAAATTTATAACTCTAATTGTATTACCCAGACACATTGCTAAAAAAAATTCTTTAAGCAACATCATCAGTGATTTCATGTCTCAGAAATATCGCTAATAAGGGATCTGCTCTCCAAAAAAGTAGGGGTAATCAGTCTCAAGATGTCACTGGCAGAAGTGAGCACAGACTCGGGGCCACGTTTGATTAAGTCTGGGCCAAACTGACAAGGCAAACAGTGGCCCTCGCAAGGTCAGCTTACAACCCTACAGTTCCAGTCACAGCCTCGGCCCAGTGCAAGACCCCTTCCTGTGGACCATCAACACCCACACATAGGCCCTCTCTCCCCGGCCATTGATGAGCTCCTGTGACAGGATGGTTTTCCATCCTGGTTGATAAAATGCTAGTCAACTGACTGCTTTGGCCTTCTTCCACTGGTTGGCCCTGATTTTATATATGCTACAGAAAATACATAATTATGTATTTTATATATGTATATGAATATGCATGTGTACAAATACATACACCTGTACATATACAAAGCAGAGGAATGGCTTCTTAAAATGCAAAGGAGCCCTGGCCTGTGTGGCTCAGTTGGTTGGGTGGCATCCTGTGCACACTGAAAGGTTGCGGGTTGAATCCCCGTCAGGGCAGATGCCCCAGGTTTCGGGCTCGTTCCCTATTAGGGGGCAGCTGATTAGTGTCTCACTCTCACATGGATGTTTCTCTCTTCCTCTCCCTTCCTCTCTTTCTAGAAATGAATAAAAAAAATTTTTTAAACTGCAACTGGGACGCCAATCTGGACATAACACCCTATGAAAATGGGACACTTCAAATGTGGTTGACTCCTTAAATGAGCACCATCGATATGTGCTGTTCCCTAAGGAAGACCCCACAGTGACAGAACCTAGTGATGGACATAGTAGTGGCCTTTCTCACCATCCCGCTGGGAGGCTTTGTGCGGCCCTTCCTTGCTGACTCCTGACTCTGAGACTGGAAAGCCTGGTTCCCAAACCAGGGATGTGCCCACGGGGCCACAGGAAGAGTCCCACTAAACCTAAAGTTGTGGGTACTGTGGGGACCATGCAGACTCCTTCACCAGCCAGTGCACCTGGCGCTCTGTGGGCCGATGAAAGCTCACAGCTGCCCAATCCCAGGGGACTGCTCCCAGGGGACTGCAGACCTATTCCCCCTGGGGCGTAATTCCTTCCCTGGGTGACCGTGGCCAATGACTGAATGATTTGGAGTATAAATGGTCAGGCCTCCTTGCTTCTAGGGTGAGACCAGGGCACATTTGACCTGAGACCACATTCTTGCCTCCCTCCCTCCCCTACAGGCTTTTCCTGAAGGGAGCATCTTCCATCATGTGCCCCCAAACCAGTTTGTCCAATTAGGGCTGAGCCCCAAGCCTGTGGAGAGCCAGGCTCTGTGCCTGGAGCTGCTTGGCAGCCAGTCTGCCCCTATAATGGGGGCCTGCCTGTGTATATAGCCACCTGAGGGATGGAGACAGTAATCGAGTCCTGAAGATGCTGCTTAAACCCTTGGATTCAGGCAAAAAAAGCTGTCCTTCAACACACTCTTCTTTGTTTTGCTAAAACCATTTTGATTGGGTTTGAGAGGCCCAGCAGGTACACCTGGGGACCCCTGAAGCAATGGGGACCTTCTAGTCTGTATAGCTATGCTTAGAGAGATGGAGGGAGGAGATACAGAATACTGGCCCACTGTGTGAATTAAATAATAATAATAAAAAAAGGTAGTGTTGTATCTAGTATTATTTTTTGCTTTAGTGGGTCTTGTCTTCTCATTTTTAAATAGATAACTCACATGATGTATTTAGTACAAACTCAGTTAATGGAACATTTTAACACAAAAATATATTATAAAATGCACCATTCCAGGTAACAAAGAGTTTAACGCTTAAGGAAAGGGGCATATGATTATCCCTGCCTCTGAATGCACCAAAAACCAGCCAACACCATCTCGTGCCAAGAGCATGAGTTCCCTGACAATCACGAGGTCCCAGCCGCCCACAGAGAACAAGGGGGAACGTGGCCTTTTCGCTTACCTTGATGGGAAGACACTTCCCACACGCGACGCCAAGGAGCAGACGACAGGTTTTACTTTAAAGGTAAAGAATCCAGTTTGTTTTTTCCAACCAGCAACAGGAATCTACTGACATCCACACTGCGGGTGTATGTCCAACACCTGTCAGCTGACGCTGCTGCTGACGTCGCAGGTGGTATTGGTGACAAGCGCACATCATGACTTATGCATGGACCTGCGAAGGTCTGTTTCTGCACCATGGAAAGGCCTGCTTACTTACAGGAACACGAACTAGATTAGAGCACGAGCAAGAGGCAGTTTTCACCCATCCAGTCATAAAAATAAGACTCAACTATGGGCCTTCAGAAAGTCCCGTGTGGGGAACTGAACGGAAACTAGGCACTGGGACTAATGAAGACCAGATGATGAAGAGCTAAGCAGTTTAACTAACTTGGCTTCTTTCTAGTTCCCTTTTACAGATTTTCACGAGAATTGGGTTTGTGAGTGAACATCCAGGCTGCTGTCTCTGGGGAGCGACAAAAGGCATGGGGGCTTAAACTGGATGGAAAACAGATTGAAAGATGGATTAAGTGTGGGCTGGGTCCCAGGTTTTTTCCCCTACATTATCTCACTTATTCCATAGGACAATTTAATTAGGATTTATAGCTTCCCTTTACAACTGAGGAAACCGAACTGGGGGTGTATGAATGGTGCCAAACCTCCGAGAACTACTTCCTCTTCTAATTATCACCCGCTCCTTGACGTGCCGTCAGTTCCTCAAGACCACAGTGTCTGAGCTGTGTCTGGTCAGGCAGACAGAAGCCAGGAGGTAACGAAAGCAAAGTGAACAAACGACACAAGGGGCTGGGAGGGACTGTAATGCAGGCAGGATGGAAGGAGGCCCAGCTGGTGTTGCAAAGAATTGCTCGGTGGGAACCTCCCTCGCCCCAGTGCTTGGTGTCAAAGTGAAGTTTTCTGTGTGAGCCGCGGGGACAGGCTCAGGAGAGAAAGAAACACAGGAGAGAAAACTGGTTTTCAACTCAGATCCAAACCCACTTTTGCGGAAGAGCGAGCAGCTCTGGGATGTCCGAACTGGACCGGGAGAGCTCCTGGAGAAAGAACCCCGGGCAGTGGTACCTTGGCTTTTGAACGTAACCCATTCTGGAAGACCGATCGCGGTCTGAAATGTTCGAAAACCAAGGGATCCACAGCCGACAGCTGGGCCTCAGGCTCTCCCCTCAGCGGAAGCCGCGGGGCACGTTCGACTTCCGAGGCGTGTTGCAAAACCGGGTTTACAGCGTTCGTAACCCGAAATGTTTGTCCATGGAGACATTCGAAAACCGAGGCACCACTGTATAAAGAAGACCTGCGCTGTCCCTAAACGTTTGTGCTGCATGACGTGCGAGAAGAGCCTGAGAAAGGCCCCGCCAGGGAAAGGCGGGAGGGGCATTTTCAAGTAAACTTGTCCTGTGCGTGAGAACTCTCCATTTTATTGTTTAACTTCCTGATTGTATAAAAAAAAAAGAAAAAAAAAATCTCTTATCACTGTTCACAGTTAGAACCCTATTTTCTTCAAAAAGTTTTATTAAGTTATCTTTCTTCAGAAAGCTCTACCTGTCACGGGCCAGGCCCTGGGCGAGGCCGGGCGGCGGAGCGCGCCTCTGGGCCTGGGCTCAGCCCTTTGTGTGGCCGCAGCTCCAGCTTCCCGCGGCCGTGTCCCCGCCGCCGCACGCGCGCCCCTCCCACTGCAGGGGGACCGGCATCTGGAACACTGCCAACAATAAAAATAAATTTTAAAAATAAAAGAGCAGGTGGAAAATTC